CCCCCCCCCCCCTCCTCCTCTTTCCTCCTTCGGCCTTGTCCGACAAATCTTACCTGAGGGGAATCTGGCGACCACGCCATGAGTATACCCATGACTCAAACTTGCTGGCGCAAAGTTCCTGCCTGCAAAGCAACACATACAAATGCCAGGGAATGAACTATAAGTCATAAGACTCATGATAAGAGTGATAAAAAAGGTCATACCATGTATGTTTCATAACATATAGAATATTATTCTACCGATAATATTATAATCACACATGCATTCCAAAGCAAAACAAAACATGAGCAAACAAAGAAGCAACGTTCCTGCCTGCAAAGCCCACATACAAATGCTTAGGGACATTGAGGGAATGAAAAAGGTTCAAAAAGCAAAACGAAACATGAGCAAAGTTCAACAAACACGGGGAAAAAAAAACTCTGAAGTGCCAGCCAGTGAAAACTGCAATTTATAAAGGATTAGCCAACACATAGGGTTCGTGTATGTCCAAGGATTCCATGATGTGTAAAGGCAACGATCGTCAAAAGATATGGACATCCGCACGGATGTTGAAAATTGAAGCGGGTGTGGTTATCTCCGACCTTCTGCTTAATTGGCTCTGTAACACAATAAGTCGTCAACCCTGAAGAGAAAAACACTGCTTCTCTGTGTTAGCTTTTCCATCAATATTACCCCTTAGTAATTACCACCTCCCCTACTCCCCCCCTTTACCCAACTAAGGGCATACTCACACTAGGGCTTTCCAGGGTATGGGGCCTGCAATTGCCGCCGCACATACACAAGAGTGAAACAAACCTGGCACCCTGATGACGTGAGAGGGTCATCCCTTTCTGGCACCCTGGATGACGTGAGAGGGTCATCCCTTTAGGTTAAGGGTGACTATATACTACGTATATAGCACTCAGCTCGATGGGAAAAGGTGGTATCTGCAGGACAGAGTGACTACGTAGTACATATACTACCTAGTCACTGTGTGTGCGTAGTGACTACTTAATACATAGTCACTCTATGTACTTAGTGCCCAGTAGTATGTAGCAACTCTATGTACTTAGTACGTAGTCACTCTATGTACCTAGTGCCCAGTAGACTGTAGCAACTCCATGTACTTGTACTGTACTTACATAGTCACTCTATGTACTTAGTATGCCCAGTAGTACATGCCCAGTAGACTGTAGCAACTCTATGTACTTAGTATGTACTGTACTTAGTACATAGTCACTCTATGTACTGAGTATGCCCAGTAGTACATAGTCACTCTAGCAACTCTATGTACTTAGTATGTACTGTACTTAGTACATAGTCACTCTATGTACTTAGTATGCCCAGTAGTACATAGTCACTCTATGTACT